ATTTTGGTTTATATGTAAATATTTTGTACGTGGGTTTGCATATCTTTAGTACCGGTGAATAAATCATATAATAGTTTTTATTTAAAAAAAAAGATGGTATCTTAGGGGCATCCATGCGTGGATGTATCCCTAGGCAAAGAATATAATTATTCCCGTGCAAACCCTCTTACTCTTTGTCACATTATGCCCTAAATAAATGGATTTCAAAAGGAAGAGTACCAAAGCCATTTTCTCAAAAGTGACAAGTTTTCAGATAAGAGATTTCTATTACATAAGCCACCACTGAGTAAGACAACATGCATCCTAACACACTGAGTTGTTCCACAAAGAGGGCTGCTTTATGCACGCCCTTAGAGATCCTAAATAGAGAGATAGTAAATAGTAGATAATCAAGTCTTGATAAGGATATCCTCAAGAGAGGATAATCCACTCTCACCACTGTAGCCTTCTAATATCCTATCCACCATGGGATCTTGAAAAGATTCAACTTAAGGATTACCATTAAGAGGAATGCCTGATTAAGTAATTAGCCAAGATAACATGTTACATCTTTTGGATCTTGCTAACCTAGTAATGTTAGCACCCTCCATGTTGATCTATGCAATCCCACTTTTGGAAGGACCAATGTGAAGAGCAGGTACACTCTCGAAACACCTGAAGAAGGATAAGAGCATTCTATACCATTATATCGTTGCTCGAGAGAAGGAGATTGTATTTTCTGAAAAGTGAAGATGAGAGAACTCAAGGTTTTTAGTCCTAACACCTAATATTAAAATCTTTGAGAACAATGATAAAAGAGTTTGGAAGTTAGATGAAAAAGGGGCTTCTCTGTAAAACCATACTATGAATTTATTACCATGAGAGAGAACAACAACAACCAAACAGTCCCTTTCAAACAAATATGGAAATCTAAAGCACCACCTAGAATCATTTTTTTTTTTGCTTGGGAAGCAGCTAAAGAGAGGATTTTAACAATTGATATGCTTAGAAGAAGAGGGAATGTGCTGATAAACAGGTATTACTTCTGCAAATCCAATGAGGAGACTTGTTATCATGTGCTACTGGGTTGCCATGTTACTTACAGCATATGGTTTTCTGTTTTGAGGCTTATTGGGGTGATTGGGTTATGGTGGGTAGTGTAGGTAATGAACTTTGGGCTTGAGAGGGTTTGTGTATAGAAAAAAGGCAGACATTTATTTCTTGTTCTACTTACTATTTTTTGGATGATTTGGACAAAAAGAAATGGTAGAGCTTTTGAGGGGGTTGAGACTAACGTGGGTAACATTAGAAATAGATGGATACACACGTTTGATCTATTTTGCTGGGTCATGATATTAAAGACTTGAATTATATGGGTGCGGTCATTGATCAATTGATTGACTTGTAACTATTTTATATGTGGGCAGTACCCCCTTGGTACCTTATGGATAATAATATTTCACATTTATTTCAGAAAAAAAAAAAACACCTAAGCCTTTTGCCAATTGACTCTTATAACTGCGGGTAATCTTACAACCAAGAACATCTACTATAAAAGTGAAGAGAAAAGGGGAAAGAAAATCTCCCTACCTCACCCCCTTTTCCCTTTGAGCCATGATTTAGGCTTCCCGTTAATGATCATTGCCTAGGAAATGGAAGAAGACAGCCATCAATCTCCATATATTGCCAAAACCTTACCCACCCATAACCCTTGTCTAGAAAACTCCAATTGACTCTATAGTGTGCCTTCTCAAAATCCAGTTCTGAGACTATCTTCTTCTGCTCAGATCTCTTAACATCCTCCACAAGTTCAGTATCAATTAGAGACACGTCAAGGATTTGTCTTCTCCATGAAGGCATAATTAATCGTATCATTTAGTGCTTCCCCTACCTTGGTGAAAGCAACTTCTGATGATTTTATAGACTGGTGACAGGACTGAGAGTCGAAAATCAGAAACTTTAAAGAGAACCAACTTGTGTTGTGTTGATTAGCCATGGCAAGACTGACTGCCTGCTTTTACGCATGCAGTATTATCACTCCTCACGATCTCATTGAGAATTTTGGGAGAATCAATACAGATATTCTATTGGCAAGATTCTCTGCACTTGTACACTTGAAATTCATGTTGATATTCTTTTAGTGAATTTTCGTTTCTGATTAATATATTTTATTTCTCCTAACAAAAGAGTTATTAACTTCTTTTGGCTAGTTGTCAAAGATCTCCTTGCAGAAGGTCCAAATCAATACCATCAGGTACTCATGCTGCTTAAGATTCAATTCTGTGTTTTTTGGATGTTTTTAGATGACTTCTGCAACCATAAAATCGCCTCCTTAGCTTTTTCTATTTTTTTTTAAATAAAAAGTGTGGTATATTTATATTGACAAGGTACCAAAAAGGGGGTACTACTTATTTACAAAAGATTTACATGATGGTTAATATATCAATGATATTCCCAAAATCCTCATCTTTAATAATGTCATGAGCTAATAAAATGGTCCCAAAATAATACAAGCACATGTCTCTAACATTGTATAACTTACAAATTTTACCCTCAAAAACTCTATTATTCCTTTCTTTCTAAAGAATTCAAAAAATAGTTAAAAAGGATAATGTTAGCAATGTTTCTTTTAATACATAAGCTTTCCGAAGCACAAATTTCCTCTCTAACCGAATCCACCATTACCCAGTTAACCCCCAAAAGACCATAAATTGAACTCCATAAATTATAAGCAGTAGGACACCAAAGCAGAATATGATTACAGGATTCCCCAGCCTTCAAACTGAGATAACATCCATTGACAAGAATCTGTCCCCTTTTCCTCAGTTTGTTAATAGTAAGAATTTCCTCCAAACATGCTTCCCAAGCAAGCAAGAACCCTTGGGGGACCTTAGTTCTTCAGATTTGTTTATATGGAAAGGTCTTAAAATTCTCCTCGTTATCTTCCATCAAAATCTGTAGTAAGAGCTGACAGTGAAACCCTCATTTTTCTCTAGAATCCAAACAAATTTATCTGGCTCTGGCTTGACTTCTTGTGATGCCAAAATCCTGAGCATTTCCTCATACTCCCTGATTTCCTAGTCATTTAAATTCCTCACCACATTAATACACCATTCAGTGTTCCCATTACTCATTCAGTAAGCATCTTTGATTAGCATATTCCTGGATTGAGCTATGCTGGAAATCCTCAGATACCTTTCTTTTAGACAGCCTTCTTCAAGCCAAAAATCACACCAAAGTCTAATTTTGTTTCCCCTCCCAAGTTCCCAGCAAGAGCAGAGGTTGAAACGGGGCCACTGTTCCAAAATCTTCCTCCAAAGGTCACACCCATGCGGTAAAGGGAACCTAAGACCACCCCTGGTCAAGTTGGGATTCCCCCAACGAGCATACACGATTCTTCTCCATAATCTGTCATCTTCATTCATGTATTTCTAAAGCCATTTTCCTTGGAGGGCTTCATTCATTTTAACCATGGACTTGATTCCAAGCCCACCAAGCACAAAAAGGTTTTTTGATATCCTCCTAGTTTACCTAATGAGTCTTGTGCTTTTCATCCTCATCCCCCCAAAGTAATTGACATTAAATTGCTTCCAATTTCTTGACAATTTTCACCGGGATTATAGTGTACAAAGGTAATAAATAGGAAGGTTTACCATATTGCTCTTGATGAAAGTGAACCTACCTCCCTTAGATAGAAAATTCCGCTTCCAACTTGCAAGCTTCTTTTCAAAAAGCTCTAATATTGGATCCCAAGATGTAAGATCTTTATATTTTGCACCCAATTGGTTTCCAAGATATTTAATAGGGAGTTTCACTGCTTTACATCCCAGCACACTAGCAAATAGATTCGCATCCTCATTACTGTCAATTCTAACCAATTCAGATTTTAGACCTGAAATGGCCTAGAAGCAAACCAGAACACATCTCAAATTCAGTAAGTTTCTCACATCTGATTGGCAAACAATTAGTGTCATTAGTGAAAAACAAGTGAGACACCTCAGTCCTTCAGTCTCTTCTCCCCACCTCAACACCTCTAGTGAGCTGGAGATCAGTTGCCTTGCTTAGCAGCCTATTTAAGTCCTCCATTACCAGGATAAAAGGCAATGGGGATAGAGGATCACCCTGTCTTAACTCTCTGGAAGCATTAGAAAATTTAGATGATTTTTATGCTTAGATCTCTTGGCTTTTTCTAAATGTTGAACATATTTCCTTCCTGAACTTCTCAGTTTTATTGATACTTCTTGTTTTATCTTTTCATCCTTCTCTACTTACTAATTGAGCTTTTTGTGAAGTATGAAACTAGAACGATGAGAGTTAGAACATGATTTTTATTGGCCATGGTCATTTGTGGACGGGAAAAACGTTTATTTTCTTCTTAAAATGTTTTGAAAGAGAAGTGGAAACCACTTACCTCATATACTTCAGCACTCTTCATGGTATGCTGCTTACCATTCGAGCTAGGAACTTTCATTCATTGACCATCAAAACCATTATGAGAATAACACTAGTTGCTAAAGCTTTAATAGATATCTCTGCCAAGTGTGAGAACACTAAAGGTGCCCATTTAATGTTTGAAAGAATGAGTGAAAAAGACATGAATTCATGAAAATTTAAGATGTCAATACTTTACATGGAGAAAAGAATATCTATTACCTTGTATTTTTTGACATCTTTTTGGGTAATGGCTTCCAATGGAGAACCTTGACAACAGATGTTGAAATGCAAAAATAGACCCAAAGGAGAAAATATAAGAAACCACATACTAAATTCAATTAACACATGTTGGACAGATATTAGTGAATCTAAGAATTAAGATGCAGTGTATTATGCTACTGTTGCTTCAGTTAACACTTTTTAACTGTAAATGGACTTACTCTTTGACTGGATTAAAGGGGTAAAAAATAAGTGTATTTATGGTTAGTAGTGTTGGCTGAAGCAACAATACAATATTTTGCATCTGTCTTCTTGCATTTTCTAATCTCTCTAAAAACTACAGGTTATCCAAAGCTTCCTGCAGAATAAGGTTTTAGCATATATAAGCAGAAAAATATAGTTTGTAAATATCCATATGAGTATAACTGTTTTTAATTGCTTCCAATGGAGAACCTTGACAACAAATATAAAAATGTAAAAATAGACCCAAAGGAGAAAATATAAGAACCTACATGCTAAATTCAACTAACACATGTTTGGACAGATAATAGTGAATCTAAAAATTCAGATGCGATGTATTATACTACTATTGTTTCAATTAATACTTTTAAACTGTAAATATATTTATTCTTTGACTGGATTGAAGTGGTCAAATAATAAGTGTGTTTATGGTTAGAAGTGTTAGCTGAAGCAACAGTATCAATACTTCGCATCTATCTTCTTGGATCTTCTAATCTCTGTCTAAAAACTTAAGATTCTCTGAAGTTTCTTCTGGAAAAAGGTGTTAGCACATATAGCAGAAAAATATAAATTATGTAAACATCCATGTGAGTATAACTGTTTCTAATAGCTCCTGACGGAGAACCTGGACAACAAATATGAAAATGCAAAACTAGACCCAAACGAGAAGATATAAGAAACCACATACTAAATTCAATTAACACATGCTTGGTATTAGTTAATCTAAGAACTCAGATGCAATGTATTATGCTACTGTTGCTTCAGTTAATAGTTTTTTTACTGTAAATGTACTTATTCTTTGACTGGATTGAAGGTTTCAAGTAAATAATTACATGTATGGTTAGAATTGTTGGCTGAAGCAACAGTATGGATACTTTGTATCTGTCATCTTGGATTTTCTAATTTCTGTCCAAAAACTAAAGATTCTCTAAAGCTTCTTCTGGAAAAAGTTGTTGGCACATGTAAGCGGAAAAATAGAAGTTACGTAAACATTTGTGTCAAAACAACTGTTTCTAATAGCAAAATAATATGAAAAGATTTTATATAAACAATACTGTTATGTGAATAACTTTAAATGATGGTTAATAATTGCTGGGAAAAAGCAAATTAATAACTATTAACAATTCATTTTTTACTTAAATACTACTATAGATTTTCTTTTTATTTTTTATTTGTAAAATTTCAATTCTAACTTCATCTTTTAACAATCAGCAGTTTTAATTTCTTAAAAACAATTAAATTAACAAAGATTTTGAGAATGATTCAAAGTAAGTAATTTGACTTATATGGAGTATTGGTTAGTCTTCAGGCTTTTCTGTGAAATGTGGATTAGGAATCTAATGATTAAAAAACAGGGTCGCTCTCTGTGAACTACAGCGTGACAACCAACACAAGTGGTGGGGTAAAACAGAGCATCCAATTCCGTTAACACTACAAATGGGTACTGTTCTCAATCTTCTGAAGTGCTGTAAACCCTTGTCTTCAATCCGATTCTCTCAACTTGCCAATTCACTGAACACGAATCAACTTAGAGCCTTCCCCTCCTTCAAGCACAAGAAAAGAAACTTAGTCCGATTTTTCAGCTCCTTAAGCTCCTCCCAGCCATTAATCCATAAGAGAGGTTTCAGCAGAGCTACCAATAATCAACCTGACAGTTCTTCATTGGACTTATGGTTGTACAATACGATGAGTAGGAAGAAAGAGCTGTTTAAACCCAAAGTGGAGGGTAAGTGGGAATGTACGTGTGCGGCATCACCGCATATGATCTCAGCCATATCGGCCATGCTCGCGTCTATGTCACCTTTGATGTTCTCTTCAGTATCTTTCCTCACTCTCTGTCTATTTGTGCAGTTCATTCATGTACTAGAACTAATAGTCGGATGCTTTGATTGGAAATTGAGCAGATACCTTAGCATTTGGATATGAGTGTGTTATGTTCGAATTTCACCGATGTGATGACAGTTAGAGAGTGCTCTTTGATGATGTTCTTTTACTAGAAATGTGTTTCTGGTGCTTGTTTAAATTTTCTTCGTCCTGATTGTTTCTCAATTTCTAATCTTTTCTTTTTTTCTTTTTGTGATTTCTTTAACTGTATATTTGGCTCTTGAGAAATAGGAGGCTAGGAATCCAGATTTTTTCCAGTTTGGCTTTTCACCCTCAGCTCTAATTGTTTTCAAATGGGTAGCCGCTTTTCAAATGTTTCTTTGATCTTTTTAATCTGAAGTTAGGATTTTCGTTCTCTTACTATTAAGCAAGTCTCTTGATTAGATGTTATTGGACTACAAGAGTTGGATGCCAACTGCTTTTCATATTGGTATTACAGGAAGCCTGAGTCTGCAATTTTCAAATTCTGTAGATAATTGCTCGAGCAAATGAATTGGGGGAGAATCCAATTAGTTTGAGCAGACGTTATTGTGAAGAGTTCCATAATGATATGGTTTGTCTCCATTGCTTAACCCCTTCTGTAGAACCACGTGTCTCAGATCACATGTCCCAAATCATTGACATGATCAAACAGGTAATTTGTTGGTGCACAATCTAGTGTCACTAATTTATGGAAATTGAATAAATGTTTTATGAAAATTTGGTGTCACATAATTAATCAGCTGGTAAATGTTCTCTGCGTTGCACTTTGACCGTCCTTTTGTATTGTGAAGTAGCATTTACCTTAGTTAGCAGAAGACTTTATGGAAATAATCAGCTGAAGAGTGTTGGTAGGAGAAATACAGATAGATGACTGTCTGAGGGCTTTAATTGCTGGCTTGGTGGTGCTATGGTTCGAGAGAAGTACTAGATCTTCAGAAATCTTTTCTCACCTCTTTTAATCTTTTATTACAAGATGACCTTTTTGGCATCTCTTTGAGTTGAGATGCACGAGCTTTTTAAGGATATTTATTTATCTACTTTATATAGAGATTGAACAACCATTCTTTATTGAGTTTTGTTAGTTTTCTCCCATTTAGTCTGCTTTCATTTTTTGTTATTTTGTTAGGAGAAAAACTAGTTATCATCCCCTTATATAACTTTTGTTCTCTTTCTAATTGTACTTCTTTTCTATAAAACATTGATCTGGTAAAGAGTGAGCAAAAAATTCAAAATGTCAGTATCTTGCTTTAAAAGTTTGTGACTGCTTAGAGTATATATACTTCTGCTAGCATACATGCTCAAGGGGATCAGTTTCTTTTTTCAAGCTCATTATATTAATCATCTGTTAATTTTTGAGAGAGGGAGGATAGAGGGAGATAGAAAAATTCTTTCAGATGCTCTTATGTTTGTGTCTATCTCTAGTGGTCGGGATATTATGTTGCCATAGAAAATTGTTTCATATTTATTATACATATGTATATGTAATTGTTTCTGACCTTTTAATATTGATGCCATTTAAAGCCTTTTTTTATCTTTCTTGGGCTCTAGGGAGAGACTGAAAGTGCTATATTTCATAAGTGTATGGCTAAAACAGGAATTGAGTTCTTCTCAAATTCACATCTTTTTCTACTTTCTTTTTCTTTTTCCCGTTCAATGTTCTGTATATTTTGTACTGTTTGTTGCTGTAATTGCAGGATGAATCTGCTTGAAATGTGCTATGCGATGATTATTGGTTTTTTCTCTTTTCTTGGTAGATTATTGATAATGGGTGTGCCTACGAAATTGATGGGGATGTCTACTTCTCAGTTGACAAATTCCCAGAATATGGACGATTATCTGGGCGAAAATTAGAGGATAATCGAGCAGGTGAAAGGATTGCTATTAACTCTAGAAAGAAAAATCCGGCTGACTTTGCTCTGTGGAAGGTACAGCTATATGCACTGGGATGTTCGTTATAAATTTGTCTAACTAGTAATTTCATCTGTTACACACAGTAACATGAACTCTGTTAGGCATTTGTTCAGGTGATAATGGCATGGGATCTGTTTTAGCTGGACCTTGGTTCCTGGTTGTAAATAGCAAGAAACATGTTATAAATTTTGGTCAACTTGGAATCATAGACCAAAAAGTTGAAAGTCATCAGATCCTGAATTTTTCGTTCAAGTTTCTGTTGGATTTGCTTATATTTTCAATGGACCTGATTGTTTCTGAAATTCAATAGTGCTTTTTTGGATGCTATGTAAATTGTCATTATTGCTCTCCGGATTTGTTGTTCCGATCGGTGCATTTTCTACTCATGTGGTGTCAAATTTAGGTCAGCCGGAAACTATATATCTAGTTTATTAGACAAAAGATAGAAAATACTCTTTACCTTTGGCTAATTTTGCAGTCTGCCAAAGAAGGTGAGCCCTTTTGGGAGAGTCCATGGGGTCTTGGAAGACCTGGATGGCATATTGAATGCAGTGCCATGAGTGCTGCTTATCTGGGTTACTCTTTTGACATCCATGGTGGAGGAATGGACCTTGTATTTCCTCACCATGAAAATGAAATTGCTCAGAGCTGTGCAGCGTGTAATCATAGTAACATAAGCTACTGGATACACAATGGTTTTGTCACAATTGACTCGGAAAAGATGTCCAAATCCCTGGGAAATTTCTTCACGATTAGGCAGGTAAAAGGATTCTTCATGGTACAGAGTAGTTTTCTTTTCTTCCTTTTTCATTTTACGACACTGGAAGCCAAGTTCTTTCTTTTAATGCTTTGATATCAAGATGTTATAATTCTGTGCGATAAAAATTTCTGTCTCGTAGGTTATAGATCGCTACCATCCCCTTGCTTTGAGACTTTTCTTAATGGGGACCCATTATCGATCTCCAGTCAATTATTCTGATGTGCAACTTGAAACTGCTTCTGAGCGAGTTTTCTACATCTATCAGGTACCAAAACTTCCAAGTTCATTCTCTCTCTCAGCCATTCAGACATATACCAGTTCTTTCTTCTCCAGTGTCCTGAATATGTTGTCTAAAAGAAGCTACCAAGGGTTATTATAATTCTTTGAATTGAATCTTCATGTAAAGATGTTCTCTTACTGTTTCAGGTTAAATCCTATGTGGCGGCATTCTGAACTTGATATTATCAAAACTCTAGTACCTTTTTAAGTTAAAAATTGTGTAGCTTGGATGAATGAATTTGAAGAATATCCTATTAATGATCTTTTTTTTTTCCACAGATTTTTTTGTTACTTCCATATTGCAATTGTTATGATTATTCTTATTCTTTACTTTTCTTTTATTATCATTATTATTTTTAATCGATAAAACTGGGGTGTAAAACACAGATTCTTTTTGTTATTTCCACATCTCATGTAATTCAATTGTTGCAGACATTACAAGATTGTGAAAACGTTCTGAGCCAATACAATGAATCTATCCAGGAGGATTCCATACCTCCTGACACTGCAAAGTGCATCAATAAGTTCCATGATGATTTTCTGGCCTCAATGTCAGATGATCTTCATACTCCAGTAGTTTTGGCAGCGTTATCTGAACCCTTAAAAACTATGAATGATCTGCTACATACTCGTAAGGTATTAAGTCCAAGTTCATGGGTATGAATGTGAAACTTCTACATTTGCCCTAATCATGCCACCAATTTTCAAATTGAATGATAAGAATTTAAGAATCTTTATGCTGAATGTTCTCCTTCTACTATGCTGGATGTAAACTATTTCAGCAGTTCTACTTTCTAATTAGTTATAAAATATTCATACTGTGATCATTCTGGCCAAATGTCGCATTCAGGGAAGGAAGCAGGCAATGCGAATTGAATCACTTGGAGCTCTAGAAAATGTAATCAGGAATGCTCTATCCATCTTGGGGCTGATGTCCACTTGTTATTCTGAGGTAAATTTTGATTTATTTTGCTTCTAGTATATAGGAAGTTTTGTGGACATGCTGACCTTTGCTCCTCCTACACAAGACAACCGTTAAGTTCTCTGACTTTTGATCGAGTCACAGCCCTGTTGAGAGAAAAGTCTTCCAGCAAGCGCAAGGGTTGCTTAGTAGATTTACGGTCTTGATCACCTTTTTGGACTAGAGTACCCACAATCTTCTAGAGAATTCTCTAAGTTCTATGATAATAGTTGGATGCTTTATTATTTTTAGGATAAGTATTCATAGAGAATGTTGCTCCTAATTAAGAGAACTTACAACATCAGAGAGCCTATATTCCTAATAGTGAAACAAAAAAGTTGTAAACAGAAGTACATGCTGGAATCGACCTAACCTGGAGGCTGTGGCTTCTCCTCTGTTCAGAATCTTCCGTGGGCCCCTCTTTGGTATACCTGACTGGTAAACCAGTTAGGATCATGGGTAGGGTTGTGGTGCATCTGGCGCATAACACCAGCCTGAAAAATATCACGATATTCTCCATGTTGCTATAATAAAGTGATTGCCATTTTGTATTTACTATTAATCATTTCAAGCTGCAGGTTTTGCAGCAGCTGAGGGAAAAGGCATTGAAGCGTGCTGACTTGACAGAATCTCAAGTCTTGGAAAAAATTGAGGAAAGGACAGGTGCTAGAAAGAGCAAAAATTATGAAAAATCGGATGCAATTCGGAAAGACTTGGCTGCTGTTGGGATTGCTCTTATGGACAGTCCAGGTGGCACAACTTGGAGACCGGCCATTCCTTCTGCACTGCAGGAGCAATGAGTTCCTATGGCTTGCATCACATTTTACAATCTGCACATTCTAGAATTTTTGGGTTGACACTGTTTTCGCTTTTTCAGTTAAGGAAAACTTCAAAGATGCATTACAGGATATCGGAGCATAATAGGGGTTAATCATCAAGAGGAACATATTTTGTATTAAGTTATGGCTAGAGAACCGGCTATGATGAGAAATTTCAGTGTAGCTCAGCTCATGTAATGACACATTCTTTATATCAGGACTGGAAGCTATGCTGTATTCAATATGACTTCGTTTTAATTCGTCTATCAGGGTATAAAGATGCAAATTATGTGCTTGGTTTTGCTTATGGTTGTGTACAAAGTCCTCTGGAGTAACAAAAATCTCTCCCATGCCACTGTTCATGATCCTTGGTGCGGCTGCCACTGGAAAACCATATGTGCCATGCAATGTAAACGTGAAATCATTAACACTAGTCTGGACTCTGGAGAGATCTGGGCAGAAACATGCTGCCATGCAGCAAACATAGCTAGTCTTTCCCCTTTTTATCACTTCCCTTTTGAAACTACTCTATTCTTCTGCGCTTTCCATTGGGAAAAGGTCTATCCGGACTCTGCAACTACCCACATAAAAGTACTGTAAAACTCTACTTTCACTTAGTTCCCACATCTAAAATCAGCCAACTGTTTCAATAATCTTATAATTCATTAGTATTACCAAGCAAAAAATAATAATTTATTATGTACATCAGTTATAACTTGAAATTTGCACCACTAGTTTCTAAATACTAAAAACCAGTTGGGTTTAGCTCAGTTGTTACTTCCTGGATTTGTATTTGTATAGGCTAATGAGAAATTGTAAATACTAAAATGTTAACAGTAAAAGAATTATATGCTTCAATTTCTAGAGACATTCTCCCTCCTTTCTATAAATAGTATCGAACTCCCCAAAAAACTTACGCTACTGTATCAACAACTCATCATCCTTTTTTTTCTCTATTTCATTATATTCTACATGATTGTTTCTCTTGGCTTTGTGTTCAGACTGTTATTGCCAGCAGGGATGATAGTGGAAGGTGTTTCACGCATGGATTATAACAGAAGCAGAAGGGTTCTCCTCTTTGTTACATTCCATGGGCTTATGATTCCTTCCGGCCACTTGCTATGGCGGTGGAGGTGGAATAAATATAATAATATGGCATCAACTAAACCAGTTTCTTCAAGCAAGATAATTAAAGATACTAAGGAAGAAAGGAGAATGGAAGACAATAGAGAAGGAGAACCCAGAAAACTCTCCTCTTCTCTCCGATGCTCACGCCCCCTCTGTTCTCGATATATCTCTGTTTCTCTCTCCTTGATACTTCTATATTTCTGCTATTTACTCTTTAATACACTAAGAGATCTCCCTCCTCCACCATAAACGGCGAATCTTCAAGTTCTGCAACGCTCTTTTCTGATCACTGTCAAAGGTTTATTTTCTTTCCCTGCTCTGTGTTCATAATCGGTTTTGCTTGTTTTCTTGGAATTGGTATCACTGGTTCATGCTACTGGCTTGTTTCTGTAGCCTCATCTATTATTGTGGTTAGATGTATTGCTTTCGTGATCATCTTTCTTTTTCCCGTTTGGTTGCCAGGAAATTGAAGCGAACAAAAATCCAAATTACAAATTTTAGTTTTTTTATTTTCAATTTCAGCGCTGAGATTGGAATTGAATGAAGTTTTAAATTCCAGTCCAGCTCAGTTATCATTGCACTTTCCTTTTTGGTTAGATTTTATAGGGAAGAGAATTTTCAACTGTCTTGTATAACATCTTTTTTCCTTTTAAAGCAGCTGGCTGTTTGGGTAAGGGGAAAATGAAGGAAAATGCCATTTTTCTTTCTTGGTTTGATGTAGTTATGCTGAATAGGCGTTTTTGTTTCTATTATTGTCATCCCAAATTTTCAATCTCAATTTAGTTTATAAAACCTATCGGTACCTCAACAGACTTGAGTTCAATGATGATTTCTTAATGGAATTTGAACATGTTTTTGTGTGGTTTTTCTATCTGGTGCATGTGAATGTATGACAAATGTCCGTGCATTTGTACAAGGAATCATCACAGCAACTTCTTACCCCGAAGATCTATTACAAACACCCCGCATATCTATTACAAATCCATAAATCATTTCAGGAAATCTGCTTTGTTTTTTTATTTTTAACTATTTGCATTTTGATTGTAAAGTACACCTGCTACACACAAAAGAAAAGGCAAAACGAAAAGGGCAGTTTTTCTATTTTCATCATAAACAATTTTTCGGTTATTTTTATTTTTCCTCTTTGGATCACAATTTAATCAAAACTTTTTGGATTATCCTAATCTCTAATCAATGCTAAAATCTATCTTAATTTAATTCTTTGATTCTTCAACTTCAATAAAACCAAATTAGTTAAGTTCATTCTTATACTAATAAGTTAGTCATAAATTTTGATAGACAAACCAATGTTTCTTATCTTTTATTGATTTTGTTCCTGTCTAAAAAAAAAAAAAATTGAAGTAAAAGATTTTTTTCTACGTTTAGGGTAAGTTTATATTATGCTTCTTTGGCAGCATTTAATTTGCTGTATTTGCTGTTAGCTTTTGATAATTAACATGTGGTTTTCTACTGCAGTGAGCTGCTAATTAGGTTCAAGGCGTCAGCAGGTTCAAGAAAGGTATGCCTCATATTTCATTAGACAATAATTTTTGAGTCTTTAATCTAGATGAATGAAGTTCTATAATTTGAGAAATTTTTGTGTCACCATATTTTATGAAGTGGAATTTGTTTTCCCACTGCTATTATGGTTTCATGATCTATTATCTAGACACTAATTTCCCTATTTTTGGGCATCCAAATTCTCATTGGAATTTATATTTGAAGATAAACTGAAAAAAAGTTTTTGAACAGGTTGAAACCATGCAGTACATCCAGATTAAAGAGAATTGGACTTTGAGAATTTACTTTACCCAAGGCTACATACTGGTTCCCTGTATTGGGTACTCCTAAAGTTCTGTTTGATGGCTCCTTGACTTCCGTTTTCACTCAAGTTTTCCATATGACATCATACCAGTGTATGTCTAAGTGAGTGAGTGAGTGTGTGTGTGTGTGTGTGTGTGTGTGTGTGTGAGAGAGAGAGAGAGAGAGAGAGAGAGAAAAGGGTAGAGAGCAATCATATTAGTAGTTTGATGCATTGATATAATTTACATTGTCTCTGCCTTACCTCACTCAGTTTCCACTGGTTATGTAACTCAAGCTCGTGGGACAGAAATATTATATATATGAATCAGTTACTCAAGATGTTTCTTGTAGGTTACCTTGTGAACTATGCCTTCTCTATAGTGTGCTGATCTGTGAAGTTAGCAAATATCGGATTTGAACCTGTTGGCAATTAATTTCTTCATTATCTGTGCTTTTGTTCACTTCCTTTGTCAGTTTTGGTAAACATCCTAACCATGTCTTGGTCACTAGGATAATTCACACTTCTCTTTCTCTAAGTATTATGGCTTCTGATTATGCTTTAAAGGCAAAGATGGATTTTTTCTTTGCTTTGCATATGTTCGTTCAGAAAAAAAGTAGTAACCAGAAATTGTCTAAATGAGCTTTGCATAGTACACACACATATAGAAGAATGCATGAATCTCATAACAAAAGTAGTAATTTCTATTTATGTTTGTTGCTCTAAGACTTGTGATGTGATGGGGATAAAATTTTTGTTGTACTATGTGCCATATGTGGTAGACCACAAGAGAGCCATGGCGTGGATTATTACACATCTGAGATTTCATGACTGGCAAGCCACCACAGTGTTGCACCATGCTTGTTAGCACTCCTTTTGGACTACTCACATTATTCTTAGAGTTATCCTTCCTGCTAAGCTGACTACAAGAATCCAACTCAAAGTGGAGATGAGGTTTGTGTTCTTTGATGTAAACACATTTTGAGGACTGGTATGGTGCAAAACATGACAGTATCATAGAGTTTTCCTCTGGACTGGTTGTTGAAATTCAATGAAGATATCTGATGAACATGGTTGTGAATATTGTTATCATCTCAATTATTTTTCGGGTCCAGCAGAAATTAGAGGAAACTGTGAGTTGTTCTCAAAAAACACAATATAGATGTGGAGCAACAGATTGGTGATTTAAATGAATCTCAACAGAGTCAAATGACTGAAGTTAAAGAAATTATTGCAACAAGAATTTGGAACAGTTATCAAAGGCACTGCTGGGGTAATACTAGAGATTAGTATCGATTTAAAATTTGTCCAAATTATATATATATTTTTTTAAATTCTTCAGTAGATTGCAATTTCGAATTTGTAAGAGACAAATTTTGCAGTTTCAATCTTACCTCAAATTTTATTTTTTTTTAGTCTGGACTCAAGGGACTATTTCCAAAATAAGCACATCTATAGCTCAAACTGCACAAGATGTATATTTCCAAAGTATTACCAGGACATGTAGGTTTTCGGGAGCCTTCAGCCAGAGGTAGCCTTGTATCTGTAAGCATTGCAGCTATCAGTAGCAATGGGGCCATTCAGCTATTCAGGAAGTCAAGGCCAGTGCTAAGCCATCGTATCATTTAGTATTTAATTTCTTTTTACCTCCCCATAATGGAGAAGAAACAAGAAAGAAAGTTATTAGGAACATTCACCTTCCTATATTTTGAATTATACCATGCAAATCATACATCTGCTATACTAAATTCATCAAATAGCATCATTACCTGAGAACATTGTGCAGGTAATTGTAGAATATCTTATTATTTGAGAAGTAAATAGGAAAATAAATAACTAGATGCAGTGACAAAGAACTCAATTGATGAGCTAGCCATCTCATTCTGCATTCGGACTCTCCTAGAAGCCTCCTCACAGCTTCCTTCTTGCTCCAATTATTCTGGACTTCTAGGTGCTTGTGGCCCGCAGGTTAGTTTGGTCCCATATGTTTTTATAATTCTCTTACACTTCTTGAGTTTGCTGCCTTGTGTTATTATTCTCCTTATGATGATTCTCCTTATGATGGTGCAGTTCCTGTTGCATTTGGGATCTCTCATGTAGCACCTGTCCGCGGACTCACTTGACATCTGGTCAAGTATCCTCCTCTTCCTCAAATTGTATTATGTATTCGAGCTACTTTGTTCTTGTAGGTATTGCTGATTCCTGGTGCTGCTATCCAGACTGGCTAGGTTGGTCCCACCATTATTGCAGTTGCTGGTTACTTTCAAGTCATTCCCCAACTGCTTCACTCATTTGTTTCTGTTTCGAGCATGTCACTATTTATTGCTGAAACCGCCTGTAATATGTTTTTAAATCTTCATTCACAGTGAGCATTTCTTTCACCTTTGGGCTGTATCTTCAATCTCAAAGGAAAAGAAGAGGTTCAACTTTTGAAATCCTTGGGTTTTCATAATGTGATAGGGTGATGAGAATTTAACTGCAAGTGTGGAGGAGTTTCTCAAGGCAAGGATGGTTAAAAGGAGTTGATATTCTTTATGATCCTGTCTGAGGCTTGGTGGGGTTGTAATGTGGAGACCCTCTTTACTGCTTCAAGAGCCCATTAATTTCAAGAATGCTTTAATGGATACAGGCCAGATAGAAACTCCAACATTTTTAGCCACTGAATATAGCAGAGGCCAGACTTACCACTGATTGCATATTCTCTTAGGTAATGCTAGGTTTTTTCTTTCATGGATAATTGAAAAAGAAAGTGATGCCTGCAGACTTCATGCTTCTTTCTTAAGCTTTTAAAGTTCTATTTGTTTTGCTGTCTTCATAGCATTAATCACAATCGGAAGAAAACTTTATGCCTTGATCCCATGTTGCAATTTCTATTTTGGAATTGTAAACCAAGTCATGGTTTTGCTTGAGATTGTGACCAAAAAATAACTTTCCTTTAAATAGTTATAACATATTATGCGTTCTAATAGTTGCACCATTTTGGAGGCAGTGGTAAGTCAGTCACGGAACATCATACTATCTAAATGGCAAGTGTAATAAAGAAAATCTGAAACCTAGTTTTTGCATTTTGTGTTTCATATATGTTGGATTTATTATCTAGATTTTTTAAAATAACATTTTTAGTTTAGTTTTTATCAATTCTTAAATTTAGTTGCTAATAAACAAGCAAATTGCTTTAATTGGTTGACTATGGATACTTTTCTAAGGTTTTCTGCATAATGATTTTGAAGCTTATGGCTAGAACTTTGTATGCGGAAGATATAGTGAATTATTTTATTGTTGTGAATTTTGAAGTGGAAAAATGCTCTTGTTCTAGAAAATATTCATTTGCATTTGTGCTTCATGTTCTGCTTTTCTAAAATTTAGTTTATCTCAAGATATTTTCTATGATGTTCTCTTTGACGTAATTATTTTATCATCATTGAGCAAAATGTAGTGTAGCTTTTTTGGGCATTACTTAAATAGCTTCCAATTGTCAATATAAACTCATATGCAGCTAGAACCTTTCTGTACTCATTAAACATTCATATCTCGACAAATCCAGCACGATTACCTTAAATGGCTAAAATATTTGAGAATTCCCTATAAATGACCCTCGGAAAGCTTAAAGAGCTTCATAAGAGGGAGCTGCGGTGAAGATTTTAAAATCTTAAGGGAGTCAACTTGCGAATTCTACTGTCGCTAGGCTGGATAGAGAGGTCTGTTCGGTAATGTGCTATTTTGTCTCTGAATTTGATTTTTGCATTCTTTGTCTTAGGATTTCTTTAAATCTGACCCGAAAGTTCCTTGCTTTCTTATTCTCCCGATAAATCCCAAATTGATTTGCTATGTCATCGCATAGCGCCCTAAGTCGCTACTAGGAGGAAAATCGGAAATCATGATTGGTTATCATTAGGTTGCTTTTGTTCACACATCATTGATTGTTGCATGTAGCTAAGAGCCTCGCGATGGGTAAGGACATAAGGTTTTCACACTGAATGAATTCTATTAACTACATGAATTGCAGATATATTAGCTTCTTGAAGGTTTTTGCCTGCTTTATTGCAAAAATCAGTCTAAAAAATAAACGATTTAAGCATTCCACGCAAGAAAGGTTGAACAACCTGATCTTCCTTGCTATGTAGATGACATAGATATATACTCCAAAAACTTTCTGATTCATCAGATTATTAAGTGACTTATTGGTCTTTTTCCACTTCGAGGAGTGTGATAGCAAATGTGGTATGCAGATCTTAACAGTAAATTTGGGGGAATTGGAGTGGTTTAATAGAATTCTAAATTGGAGCTCAATTTCAAATGACTAATATCAGAAAATTGTGTTTTGGTGTTAGACCTGAAGATGTGGCTGCTTTTGATCATAACAATGTAATAAAGAGGGTTCCATAAAGAGAAGCAAACATGAAAATAAATTATTAGATACCGAATGTTAGATAATAATTACTAAAAATCTTGACTTTTAATCAACAACTCCTTAGAGGAAATCTTCATGGTTTTCCTTTTCTATGGGAACTACAATTTCTAGTGACACTACATCTTTGTTTAGTTGGTATCCGGGTCATCTTCATAATTTATTACTGTGTTGTTTTAGTTATTGCTTTCTAACTATTTCCTGTTCACGTTGAAGGTTACCACACATAATTGAAATTCCAACCTTATAGAGAAATCATAAAATTTTCCTACTAAACAGAATGCTCATTGCCTTACTTCATGTAAATGAGTGCAAAATTTTTCTAAAATGGATGCTATGTTAGCTAGCTATGGACTTGGTGTTCTTTCAGTTGAGGACTCCTATATTTTTCTGAAGAAACATGAGTGACCAGACTGTACTAGTAATAAAGCTAATTGCATTATTTTTTTCACATGATATTTTGCTGCAATCATAATGATTTTCAATGATAATGAATCTTTCTTTCCAGATTAAATACCTTTTTATCTGTTCAACTATTTGTTTTATTAGAGAATATGTTCATTAACATTGACCATTGCATTGATGGAACAAGGAGAAAGGAAAAGATCAACAAGGGTGCTAGTGTACTTCAATGCACAATTTAACTAAGAGTGTCATATCTTATCATAGTTACTGCAGATACTAACAATAGACATACCATTATGGGGAGTGGGGAGCATAGAAGGAGTGCAAGGATACTTGAATTAGATGCAAGGAGAGCCCAAAGCATGAAGAGTAAAAATACAAACAGTGAGATGTCTAAGGTGGCAACTGAGCAGGATTCAGGTACTAGACTAGAACATTCCTGCCGAAAGCGGGGGAAAAGGAAGGTTAATTTCAAGCCTCTTGAAGAACTGGTTGTTAAGGACACAAACCATCAAGTTGAGAAGGTACTTCCCTTATTTATAAACCTTTCTTTACCTCTAGTTGGCATTTATGTTCATTCTTTTGAAAGATGATTACTGAACCTCCTGAGGATTTCTTACCTAATTTTCTATGATCTTTTGATGAGGTAATTTTTGTCGTTTCTTTTAACCTTAGATTGTTGATTGGCATCTTCATCTTTTGGTAAATATATTTCTATACCCGTGTGCCGTGTCCATTGCCTTTATTGTTTTATGAGATTGAAAATTTGAAAAATGATTTCCATTTTGAAGTATCAAATACATCCATAAGTGGTTTAAGCTTCATATCTAACTGCTTGCGTATCATTATCATGTGCATGCTCTCACTTTTTTGGTTGTTTAGGTACTATACAATGTGTGAGATCTCCCGGATTCAGTACTGAAAGCTTTATGATGAAAGCTAATAGTCTTGTTGGTACTTTATCAAGAATTTATTATCTAGATATGTCCAAATGGTTATTCACTCTGCTTTCTATTGTGTAGATTTATTTTGGTGAACATCAGCAGGAGTATAAATTTCCCTTTTAGAATACAATATCCAATCTGGCTCTAGCAGTTACATGTACCTGTTAAAATTTAAGGGTGGCACAAATGTGCCATTAGTTTGTTTTGTTCTCTAGAAAATACAGAAGTCACTTTCCTCTCAAATACAAATTAGTTTCATTTTATGTACAGGATTATTTAGTATTTTTATTTTGGTAGTGGCCCATTATAATGAGAGGAACACTGGGTGGATGTAATATTGGATTTGGACCCAAAGCTAAAGCTTATCAGGAAGCATGTTGTGCCAATGGAACCACAGGTTCCAGGAACAGGATAACTTCAGTTTAGGTTGTTGTGGGTCTGTTAAAACAATTTATGCTATTGAATTGGTAGTTGAACTATTTGCAGGCTGATGTTGGATGTGATGAAGATCATCATATAAATGCTGGTAAGCTAGTCCTTCCTTAATATTCAGTGTACATTTTTTATATCATGATAGTAACTGATAGTAGTACTTTTATCTTTCTTTTGAGATTCAACAGCTGTTGTTCCATCCACAACTCCTATGCCAGAAAAAAACAAGCTTGAACTACTCCTTGGCGCATTGCAAAGGCACGTACTTAAATTGCGCACGTTAATAACATATATTTGAGAAAACATCATCTTTTCTTGCTCCCCAGAATTGATAGTTAAATTAATTGAATTTCTTGTCAAGGAATTTTCTTCTTAACAATATATGCTAATTAAAATGTAGGAGGGACACACACAAATTTTTTTCAGAGCCAGTAGATGGCAAAGAGGTTTGTATCTGGTTGTAGTATCACCATGTTTGGCTTTTGTGTTCTATAACTTTATGATTGATTGAACTTGACATGCTTGTTAAATTTGTAAGGTAGAACATTACTATGA